GAATAGAAATGGGCTGAGTTCCCGGCACCAGGTCAATACAAAAATCAATATCCCTATCCGGTGGCATGCCCGACAGGTCTATAGGAAACACATCGGGAAAATCTCTTACAATTGGAACAGAATCAATATTGGGAGTCTCAGCACTGACATCCCTCACAAAGGCTAGATACGAAAGACAACCCTTCCCAACCATATGTTGGGATTTCAAGAATGAGATCACTCTACTGGGAACATAATCAGTCGCACCTCGCCACTCAATCTGTGGCACACCCGCTATATCCAATGTGACTATCTTAGCATGACATTCCTGAATAGCACAACACGGAGATAGCCAATCCATGCCCAAAATGACATCAAAATCCACCATACACAATAATAAAAGATCCATACGAATCTCCAGACTCTCAATAGTCACCACACACGGCCGGTACACACGGTCTACAATAACAGTATCACCAACCGGGGTAGATATATGAACAGGTGAAGCAAAAAACTCATGGGACGTACCCAAATAACGAGTAAAGTATGATGACACATAAGAAAAAGTGGAATTGGGATCAAATAATACAGAGACATCTCTATGGCAGACTGAAACAATACATGTGATAACAGCATCTGAAGCAATAGCATCGGGTCTGCCTGGAAGTGCATAGAAACGGGCCTGACCGCCACCTAATCGACCTCCCCCTCTAAGGCGACCCCTAACTGACTAACCTACACCTCTAGCTGGTTGGACGGCGGTGGTGAAGTAACTAGCGCTGAAGCTGATGGCTGACCCCTCTGCTGAGATGAACTCGCAAGTCAACGAGGACACTGCCTCCATATATGACCCATCTCACCACAATCATAACAACTCCTAGGTGCTAGAGAAGTGTACTGAAGGGAACCCCTCACACCGGAGTGACTAGCAGATGCATCTGGCATAGAAGAGCCCTCAACCGATGGAGCACGGGACAAACTCTAAGCTGGAAAGGCACTAAGTGATGACTGGCCCTGATGAGAATTGTGAGAACCATGCCCCGATGACGCCCCACGATAACCTGGGTGAGCTGGCTGCACATGTCTAAATGGATGTCCTCTGTCGTGCTGAAACTGACCTCTCGAAAGAGTACCACTATAACTACCAGATCCTCGAGGCCTCTTGGTCTCCCTCTCCTCTCCCTCCTAGCGACAAACAAACTCAATCTCACGAGCAATATCCACAATCTCCTCAAAAGTATAACTAATCTCCTTCTCCTTGGTCATGAGAATATGAAGCTGATAAGAGAGGCCATCAACAAACCTCCTAATCCTCTCTCTATCTGTCAGAACCATTCAAATACCATGACGAGCTAACTCGGAGAACCTCATCTCGTACTGTGCACTGTTATCTCTCGCTAACGCAACCACTCAAACTCCCTACGTAGCTCCTCTCTGCGGGACTACGACACATACTTCTCCAGAAAGAGAACGGAGAACTGCTGCTAGGTAAGAGGTGCTACACCAACAAGCCTACACCTCTAAAAAGCCTCCCAACAAGTGAATGCAACTCCAGAAAATTGATAACTAGTGAAAGCGACCCCACCGGTCTCCAGAATACCCACTGTACAAAGCATCCTCTGGTAATTATCTAAGAAACCGTGGTCATCCTCGCCCTCTGTACCACTGAAGGTCAGAGGCTGCAGTCTACCAAACCTCTCCAACCTACACTGCTCATCCTTCAGCATAGCAGGAACTACATAGTCCTGAGCAGCTGCAACCGACTGGGCTGGATATGCCCCCGGCATCTGAAGTCCCTGCACAACCTGCTCAGGTGTGCGAGCGGTGGGAGTCTGATTGCCTCCCCCGGCCTGAGAAGTAGCTGTGGATGTAGTGGCTGAAACCGCCTGAGCTAGGCTAGTGCAAACTGATAAGATCTGAGCCAAGGCCTCCTGAAGATCCGAAATCAAAATTTGCACAACTGGTGCCTGAGCTAGTGCTGCTGGAGCGCCCATAACTGAAATAGGAAAGATTGGGTAGGAGATAACAAGGACTCCAAACATCGGGAAACTACCTCGAAGACTACCAAGGATAAACTGCATAGAATATCAGCACCCACCGTGTACGGAAACACCTAGATCTGCACACGATGTGTAGGGTGTAGCGTGAGTACAACTAACTCAGTGAATAACAAGACTAAGTAAGGAACTAAAGATAGTGACGAGCTACACATTTATAGTTCAATTTCAGTAATCTCAACAAGGAAAAATAGGCATGTTTTCAAATCCGGTAATTAAGTCAAATCAGTTTATACATGTGAAGTTCAAGTAAAATCAGATGTAACATCTCTCAGAAATTTCAATGTAGTGATATGAGAGCTAAGTGCAACAATAAGGAAATCAAATGCATCCTCTCAGAGCAATAGTCACTCAGTCATCCCATTCACTCCAACCTCACAATCACTCATTTCCTCACAGACACTCGTTCCTCACAGCCACTCATTCCTCTTAGTCGCTCGGCACGTGACACTCGCACTTAGTAGGTACGTACGCTCACTGGAGGTGTGTACAGACTCCGGAAGGGCTCCTTCAACCCAAGCTCTATATCAAGCCAATCATGGCATAAATCAATGAAACATGCTGCGACGTGCAACCCGATCTCATAAATATCCTCACAATCAAGCCCTCGGCCTCACTTAGTCATTGACCTCTTTCGTCTCTCGAGCTCTCACTAATCATAAAAATTAGCCCACACATCAATGATATGATGTACCAAGAAGGAAATAATAAAGACTGAGATATAATATACGAGCAAAACTGAGACTGAGTACAAATAGCAATTAGCAGGTAATTTAACAGTTAACACTTCCTCTGTAGGTCCTAACAGTATAAACACATAGCCTAAATATGATTTCTAACATAATTTACTATCAAATTTCTATAACACATGGAGATCATATAGCTAACAACAAGTTATTCCACTTTACAGTTCCATAGAATGGACCATGTCATGATTCCCACTGTGCATGCCTACACGCCTGTCACCTAGCATGTGTGTCACCTCCAAACCAATCACATAAAACATAATCCTAGGTTTCATACCCTTAAAACCAGATTTAGAACTGTTACTTAACTCAATTAGAGAAAATCTCTACTCCAACACACCTTTGCCTTACGAATCGGCCTCCAAATGCCTCGAATCTAACCACAAACAATACGATACAATCAACACATGCTAAAGGAGTCAATTCTACAAGAAAATAAGAGATTATAAATCAAAAAATCCGAAATCAGCTCAAAGCCGGTTCCCGGGTCCACATCTCAAAATCAAACAAAAGTCACAAAATCTGGATGCCTAGTTAACTACGAGTCTAACCATACCAAATTCATCAAAATCCAACACCAAATCGCCACTCAAATTCCCAAAATCAACTCTACAAATCCCTAGCCTCAAACCCCCAAATTACATCTAAAAAACACACAAACTAGGTGGAAAAAATCAATGAGGAAACAAGATAATTGATAAAAAATGAGCATAAAGAACTTACCTCAAAAATCTCTTCAAAAACCCTCTCAAAAATCGACTAAGCCCGAGTTCAAAATATTAGAAATTGTGAAAATCTCGGAACCCTCATTTTTATATATTCTGCCCAGGCTTTCTGCTTTTGCAGACATTTAGCTGCATCTGCGGTCCCGCCTCCGCTTCTGCAGAAACTCACTTAATGTGACCAACCGCTTCTGCTGGTGCGCATCTGTGCAAACCAATTACACTTCTGCGGACCAGTGGCTCCCAAGCCAATTCCGCTTCTGCGACCCCTGCCCGCATCTGCGCAATCACAGGTGCGGAAACCCCATAGTACTTGCGACCTCTACTGAAATCCTCCAACTCCGCACCTGCGCACCACCTGCCGCACCTGCGGCCAAGACCCTCGCAGGTGTGATTACATCAGAAATGCTACAACTTCAACAACTTCACAACTCCAATTCTTGATTTGTTAACTACCCGAAATCAACCCGAGGCCCATGGGACCTAGCCCAAATATATCAACAAGTCTTAAAACATCATACAAACTTAGTCGAATCCTCAAATAAACTCAAAAAACACTAAAAAAAATGAATCGCACATAGATTCAAGCCTAATGAACTTTGAGACTTCCAATTTCTACAACCGACGCTGAAACCTATCAAATCACGTCCGATTAACCGCAAATTTTGCACACAAATGACATCACGAACCTACTCCAACTTCCGAAATTGGAATCCGACCCCGATATTCCACTCCCAATAAAACTTCCCAAAATTTAACTTTTGTTATTTCAAGCCTAATTCCACTACGGACCTCCAAACCACAATCAGAACACGTCCCTAAGTCCATAATTACCCAACAGAGCTAATAGAACCATCAAAACTCTATTCCGGAGTCGTTTACACATAAGTCAACATCTGGTCAACCATTTCAACATAAGCTTTCCATTACAAGACTAAGTGCCTCAATTCACTCTGAAATTCCTCCGGACCCGAACTGACTAACCTAGTAAGTCATATAACAACTAAAGCATAAAAGAAGCAGTAAATGAGAAAACGAGACTACAACTCTCAAAACGGCCGGCTGGGTTGTTACAGTAGGCGACAATCTACAACACACGCCTCGGGGTGTAGCCCTTCCCCGGATCCTATGTGAACGCGGGATGACTTGTGCACCAAGCTGCCTTTTTACTCAAGAGATTGAAAATAGTGGTGCAGGTTTGTTCTCTTGAAATTGGCTCATGATATCAGTTAGCGTTTCTCTAAAATTTTAAGGTTTAGTCTCAACGCTTATTTGAGATAGTTTCATATGCATTTTCACTAAAATATAGCTAACAACTAAATTGTATAAGACATAATATGACTGGCTAGTAATCAGCACTGCAGTAGGAACTGTTTGTAAATCTGTCCCCATATAACTACTATATAAACCCAAAAAATGGCGGAAAAAAAATGAGAATAGCACGCTGATAAATATATCGTCTTTGTTATAGGTAAAGCTCACACTTGCAAAATTCATAATATCTTACATATATTCACCATTGGATATATAATATATTCTTCAAACACAACATTATTTATTTCACACGCAGCTAGCTACAACTAGCCAATATTGCCAAATACTCATCACGCAGACACAGAAATATGTATATGACATGTATGCATGTATATATATATATATATTACTTGAGAAGGTGACCCTCTATATCTCTAGTGACACGTAGGGCATAACCCAAGAAAACGAGAGGGTCTGGAGTGTCTTCAGTTTTCTTCTCGTACACAAATGTCCATGTAGTCCATTGGTGGTCATGGGATGAGATCATAGTGAAGGAATTGTACAACTCTAACAGATCCCCTCCAATCACTTTCCAAGTGATTGATTTCTTCTGATGATCCACAGCTTCAATCACCTGCTTACAGATTTTATCGTTTCCATCTGTAATCAATAAAGTTCGTAAGCACAGATGTTACTCGATGTTCAATTGTCTAGTTCCTCATATAAAAGATATAAACATCCGGAATAACATATTTTCTTCTCATTTTTTTCCCTTTGTTTTTCATTTTCATTTTCTAAAAATTTATTTGAAGCTCACAAAGATTGGACGTGCTATATTTTTCCTGAATAAAATTATCGTTAAAAATCTCAAAAGAGCAATTGGCATTGTGGAAAACAATGAATTAGTAGGGGGAAAAAAGATTAAAATTGATAATATTGAGTTTGGTATGACAAGGAATTTTCCTTGAGAAATATTTTTTTTTAATATATTTGGTAAAAAAAAATTCAGTACTTGGTAATTGGTGAGTGAAAAATATTCCATGTATATATTATATTGAATGCTAGTAATAATATTAGCAAATAGAGTGTTAATAAGTATTTTGAGTATTATCAATAATATGTCTAAGTGTTAGTTGGATCAAGTAATATGAAGTCAAACATTAAGATAGTTATTAGAAAAGTGACTTTCCCTTTTGATGCAAACCATTTTATGGTAACCAAAAACATCATCAAATATGAAAACTTTTTTTATTGAATAAAGACTTCTTGACATACTAAATACACTCAAATGCAAAAATTGATACAAGTAAATAATATATATGTATAGAGAGAAGAAATATGAATTATATACCGTCGTTATATTTCCAGTTAACAATCGAACCAATTCTTGACATACTAAATACACTTAAATGCAAAAATTGATATAAGTAAATAATATATATGTATAGAGAGAAGAAATATGAATTACATACCGTCATTATATTTCCAACTAACAATCGAACCAACTTTTACGATCTCACCTTCATCAATATCAACTTTGTGGACCTTACCAGGACTTATGTTGGATATATGATGAGTATTGGTATGAAAAATATCATGAATCAGGTGTCCTCCACACTTCACCTCTACTGAAGCAATCAACTTGCCTTTCAGACCCATATTTTCTTCGATATAGAAGAAAACTTGAGAAAAAGAAGCGGTGAGAAAAAGTTGAGAGGCTGTAGTCTTTATATAGATTATGCTCTTAGCTGTTATTATTATTATTAAATATATTATGTTCTAGTTAGCTGCATGAAAAGCTAGTATAAAACATGATCCATGACAACTCATGTTTTTTATTAGTGGAGATGGAAGATAAATGTCAGCTCATTACGTGTACAATTATATCATCGCCCTAAAATTTTAATCATTTGGCTTATTTTCAAAAGGAAAAAGGTCTAAATTTTCCCCTAATGTATTCGATTGAGATTGGATTTATCTTCCATTAAAAAAGTAGCCTATTCGTAGCCCTGCCAATATACAAATAGTTCAAATTTACCCCTTTCGGCTAATGAAAGTGAAGAGTCCGAAACCTAAGTAATGGTATTTTTGATTCAAAATACTTTTATACAGTTAAAAAAAAAAGTTATATTTCTAACTAAAACGCAGTATTATATTGCGTTTTAGTTTAACGGAAAGTTAGCCATTAATGTAAAACGCAGTATAATACTACGTTTTAATTAATAATTTATTTTTTATAGGAAAACACAGTATAATACTACGTTTTAGGAAAACGTAATATTATACTGCATTTTCGTATTAAATTATAAACTCGTCTTCTTCCCCACGACAGAAACCAGTTGGTTTCAAATTAAAAAATCCCCCCACCTTCCAGCAGTGGTCCCCCCTCCTTTTCTAAAAACTAATCGATTGGGCCCCACCCGTCACCCAAAAAATAAAGAGTGTAGGTCCCGCATACAACCTAAGCCTTTGATTGTTGTTGATTCCTTCTTTCGGGCTCAAAATTTTAAATTTTCGACATTTCAAAAAACATAAATCGAGGTATTCCGATTTAGTTTATGTCGAAACTCGTATAATTATGCATATTTGTTTTCTTGAATGTGTTTCCACATTGATTTGTGTTATGTTTGCGATTAAATTTGTATGTTATTTTTACCCGGATTAAATTATTAGTGTTTTAAAAAAATAGTTAAAAGTTGAGAAATAATTTTTATTGTTAATAAAATTGTTTATAAATATCTTTTACTGTTTTATATGTAATTTCGTGAATGTTATGTTCATATGTTTGTTGATTTTATTTAGTTTAGATTATTTATTTGCTTAAAGAATAGTGTCTTAGTAAAATATAGATCCTTTTAGCGTAGTAAAATGTAGAACCTTTTAGCGTAGTAAAATATAGAGCCTTATAGCGTACTAAATATAAAGCCTTTTAGCGTAGTAAATTATAGTGCCTTTTAGCGTAGAGACCCTGTAGTTTAAGTATCTACTAACTACAAACTTTATCCAATTTCACTTTACAAAAATTAATTATATAATTTATAAAACAAACTTACAGAACTAACAAATTAATATATGTTGTCAAATTAAATATCGAGCGTGGAACCCATAGTTATATACCCTATCCAATTAAAATTAATTATTTAATTTATAAAACTAAAAAAAATAAAAATATTAAAATTTACAAACATAAGAATTCAGGATAACTTGGTGCTACTAGGCCTCAATTATCGAGCCTGGAACCCATAGAGGGTGTTTGGCTAAGCTTATAAGCTGGTCAAACTAGTTTATAAGCACTTTTCGGCTTATTTACGCGTTTGGTAAGTTAAAAGTGCTTATAAGCCAGATGCTTATAAGTCAAAAATAAGCCAAAAACCATAAGTTGGTCACCACATCTTATGAATTTTTAGCTTATAATCACTTTAAGTTTGACCAAGATTTTACTATTTTATCCTTAAAATATTCCTTTTTAGAACAAAACTCCTACATCAGTACTCACTGCCTCAAGTATTTTTTCAACCTAAACTTGAAATTAACTCCTAATCTAACTAGAGGGTGTTTGGCTAAGCTTATAAGTTGGCCAAACTAGCTTATAAGCACTTTTCGGCTTATTTACGCGTTTGGTTAAAAGTGCTTATAAGTCAGGTGCTTATAAGTCAAAAATAAACCAAAAGTCATAAGCTGGTCACCCCATCTTATAAATTTTTACCTTATAAGCACTTTAAGTTTGACCAAGATTTTTACTATTTTATCCTTAAAATATTCCTTTTTAAGACAAAACTCCTACATCGGTACTCACTGCCTCAAGTATTTTTTCAACCTAAACACTCCCCCCCCCTCTTCCACCCCGCCTCTTCAAGTTTGCAATTCTCATTGACTATTTAATATAAGCAAATTCTCTATTCCTTTGCATATTTGTATCATTATGATTGCTTATTAATCTTTGAACTATATGTAATAAGTGAGGACATATTAAATTTTTGGTGTATTTCTATATAAGTGTTGTGGCGATGAAGAGAGTGTTTGTTTCTCTTCCAATATTTTATCCTATTTAGATTTATTTTTTATGGAGAAACTTTTGTCAATTTATTAATTATTATAACTTATGATTATATGTTTATCATAAAATAAATTATATTTATCATAAAAATTATCTTATCTAAGCAAGGTAGTATTTAATAAAATGACAAATAGAATATTTTGTATTTGAATCGATATCGAATCTAAAATTTTGAAGAAATTACGCCCTTATAAGTGTAAACACTTCTAAGGTTTTTTAAGTCATCTTAACATAAAAAGGAGTTTATCAGCACTTTTTAATTAAATACTGTATCAATATATTATCAATTTCATCACTTGTATCCAAACACGTAACTGCTTATTTATTAAATCAGTTTTAGCACTTAAAAGTGCTTTTCAGCACATAATGCTTGTGAGTTATTTCAAATGAGCTTATCCAAATGGGCTCCTAGTAGACCCCCCTCCCCCACCCTCCTCCTTTTCTATCGGTAGCAACATCAAAAAGAGCATGTTCTCATCAGCCATCGGAGTTATATTTCTAGGTCGCGACCAACAAAATCAAGGTCGTCGTCAGTGAAAATATTTTCAATAATGGGACTCTCCTTTTTTTAGATCTGATAAAGGGCTTCATGGGATGAAGAAGATGTGAAACTGTGGCAAAGAAGAAAAAGATGATAAAGTATCAAGGGGGTTGTCAGAGTTTACCTATGAGATTTAGTATTTTTTTTAATGGGGTTTTGATTTTAACGGCGGTTGAAAGTGTGTGAGAACTAAATTGAGACAAGGAAGAGGTCCACATTTGCCCCGGGAAAATGAAGAGAAAGAGGAAGGAAGAAGGAGGTCCCAACCGACAAATTTTTCAGTGAGGTTCAAGATGGCGCTCCCATGGTTGTTGCCCAATTGTTGTATACGTGAGGTGCAAATGTATTTGTGTAAGAAAAAGAGTGAAGAGAGTAAGGAAAAGAGTGAAGAGAGTAAGGAAAAAAGGGGTGGCTATGAGTTAAAAACTAAGAGAGGGCAGCCCGGTGCATTAAGTGTCACAATCCAAATTTCTCATCGTCGGAATCGTGATGGAGCCTAACATCGCACTTGTTAGGCAAGCAAACGTTAGAGTTTTATTCACCTTTTTCCTTTACTTTTTATAATTAAAATTTAGCAGAAACCAAATCAACGGAAATAAAAGCGGAAGTACATATTTAACTGTTTATCCTTATACTATTAACAAAATTGAACGGTTACAATACAGAAACTGGTGTCACCACTCACGAACATTCTATGAATAACCATAAGTATGGGTTTGAAAGAAAATACATATGTCTCAAAGAAAGTAAAATAGAAATGAGGAAAATATAAGAGGGGACACCAGGGCCTACGGATGCCTGCAGGACTATATTGGGTCTCCTAGATGAATGCCTTCAACCGACCTCTCGATCATCCACAACCAGCTCCGACATCTGCACAGAAAGTTCAAAGTGCAATATCAGTACAACCGACCACATGTACTGGTAAGTTCCAAGCCTAACCTCTACGAGGTAGTGACGAGGCTAAGGCATAACCTGCAACAGTATATGATAAAACAAAAGGAAATATGGAATGAATTGAAAAAATAACTTGCAGCAAAGTAAATACGGAACCCAGATATTTTTCTAGTACTCAGCAATAACCAATCCTTAAGAGAGTTACAATGCTGCAGAATATAATCACATCAGAGGAAGAATACATAAACAACAAAATGATGTGGTGCGCATCCTGATCCCACCATATAACAAGTAATAATATGAACATTTACCCTTATTACTCCTTGTTGTGGCGTGCAACCCGATCCCACCAGTCCACCTTATTACTCCTTAATATATCACCCTTATTCCTCGTGTTGCAGCGTGCAACCCGATCCCACATGTCCTCTCTTATTACTCCTTGTTGCGACTCGCAACTCGATCCTACCAAACAATCACATTGCACCCTTATTCCTCCTGTTGCGGCATGCAACCTGATCCCACCATATCAGTACCAATCACAAAATAAAAATAAGTATTTCACTATTTAACTCAAAACCCTCCACGACATTTATACCTCAAACCAAAATAACTGGAAATCTATACAATTATGACACTTCATTAGTTAATACTACACAGTGAGACCAACCAAAGTGTACCATAAAACACCAATAAACCAACTTAAACTAACAATGTAATATAATAAAACTACGGAACAATTAATACATTCAATAAAGAAAACAACATTTAAGAAGAAGCGATTAGACATGGAAGCATCAATAAGCAAGTAACAGTTAAAACCGAAAAATAATATATTAGGAATGGGAAAGGGAACAGGCCAAACAGATAATTTGGCGGTGCATAGGTACTCGTCACCACACCTATACGCCACACACAATGAATTTCACATAGCAATTAAGTCGGGGATCCCTAATCCCTTGAGTCAAGGTTAGACCAAACACTTACTTCAAGCCAACGCGTAACTCATAGCTCAATTACAGCTTTCCCTCTCGATTCCATCTCCAATCAACTCATATCTAGTCATAATTAACTTAATAACAACAATTATCACTAAAGAAATCAATTCCAATGCATAATTATAGGTTTTCCAACATTTTTCCCAAAAAGTCAAAAATCGACCCCGGGACCACTAGGTCAAAACCCGAAATTCAAACCAAAACCTAAT